ATGAATTTTTTATATATTTTTTAATATTCTTGTAATTTTTTTATTTAAAATTTTCCCTCGTCTTTTTGAAATGTAAAATAACTAAAAGATAATATTAAGAAAATTATATTCCCAATATAAGTTTAGTTATATGGTGATGATAAGATATTGACAATTTGTTATGAAATTAGTAATTTTTGCACTGGGAGGAATTCGAAGAAATTTTTATTTTCAACTCTCAAACTATATATCACTCAAAAATTAATTAATGTGGCATCGAAACTTGATTTCAAATTTCATTTTACATTATCTCCCAAAGTATTATCAAAATATCAATTAGACCCTTTAATATATAAAATAAGCTCTAATAATAATTTTCATTTAAAAAATGAGAAAAATTAATGTTAATAATAAAATGTACAAAAAAATATTCAAAAAATATACCTCAATTAAAATTGTCTCTTTAAGCCTCAAATTCCTTGAATCAAACATGAGAATTGAGTTTGAAATTCTAAGTCCACTCTCTCTCTTTCTTCCAAATTGAGTCCAAAACTCTGAGTCCACCTTGCAAAATTTATTTTTTTACAAGAATGATATTCTTAAAGTGTCCTTGTGGCTCAACAACGAAGGCATTGGCGACATCTTTTTCCTTAACTCATTGTTTTTTCATATTTTCAAGTGGTTGTAAACCTCTTTTCCATCCAATCACCAATCTATCTATTATATTGTACGAATGTCACCATATATCGACATCCACTAATGTGTCCTTGTTGTTTCAAGCAACATTGGGTGTCTCCAACTTGAACATTTTCCAATGACGGTCCAGCACCATGTAAAAGAAGTGATTTGCCAATTAATTGGAATAATACACCATTGTAATTGATTGTACAATTGATTGGATGGCTTGACCACCACTACTCGATTCTCCAATTGATTGAATGGCTTGATCACCACCAATCGATTTTTTAATTGATTGCAAATCTAATTTTACAAAATAATCGATTTACAATATAATCGATTGGTCAATCGATTGGAAGAATTGGTCACTCCAATAACCAATCGAATGAATATTTGATTGACCACCACCACCAATCGATTTTTCAATGGATTGGACGATTTGACCAAAACCAATCAACGTTACAATTGATTACACATCTAAAATTTCACAAAGAAATTGATTAGTGAATCGATTGAAAGAATTGGTCACTCCAATCGATTTGTCAATTGATCGCATGACTTGTCGACAACCAATTAATTGGCCAATCAATTAGCTTCGTCAATTGATTGGATAAATTGATCAATAACTTACTCAAATTTGTGTTACTTATGCATTTTTGTGAGATCACATATGTGATTTTGTAAAAATTTTCGTGATTTTGTGTTCCTCAAAACTTTTATCAGATCACTTACGGGAAATTTATGTTAACTTACGCATTTTTGTGAGATCTCATACGTTAGTTTGTAAAAATTTACGTGCTTTTGTGTTGTTCAAAATTTTATGAGATGACTTACTTGAATTTGTATTATTTATAGTCATTTTTGTTACATCATTTACGTGATTTTGTGTTCCTCAAAAATTTTATGAGATCATTTATGGAAAATTTGTGTTAACTTACTCATTTTTGTTAGATCACTTATGTGAGTTTGTGAAAAACTTACGTGAATTTGTGTTGTTAAAAATTTTATGAGATCATTTACTTGAATTTGTGTTATTTATCCAGTTTTGTGAGATCATTTATATGATTTTGTAAAAATTTACGTGATTTTGTGTTCCACAAAATTTTTTATAAGATCACTTAAAAGAAAATTTGTGTTAACTTATGCATTATTGTGATATCACTTATGTGAGTTTGTGAAAAACGTACGTGATTTTGTGTTCGTTACAGCAAAAATGGATTTTTACGACACCAAATACACGTTGTGGATACGATTCTACGACGCGCGATGTAAAACTTTGTTATGACCAGTCATGGAGAGTCATTTATTTCAACGGCATGCCGTAGTACGCCATTAAAAACCTTTTAACAACGGATCTTGTATGTCGTATTTTATTTTTTTACAACTACTTTTGCACGCCGTAAATTCAAAGTACAAACAACGACGTTCATTGCTAGTTATTAAATATTTAATATAACAACCTATTTTGCCTGCTGTAGATAACTCAAGTTTCACAACTTTTTTTGCATGCCGTAGAATATGTATATATATATTTTTATTTAGTAGGATCTATTTCATTTATTCTGTATAATCTTAAAAAAATTACAAACAAGCTTCACAAACACACACACACACACACACACATATATATATATATATATAAGCCTAAATTAATACCAAAATTTTGTTTCAAACATCCAAATATATATATATATATATCCAGAAGTTCTGAATATCCAAAAAATTTACATTCCAAACCATTCAAAAAACATGTTACTAGATATTAAAAACTATCCTCAAGTTCAAAACCATCCAAAACATTTTAAATCATCCCCTCCCCCCCTTAAAAAAAAAAAAAAAAATATCCTTTGATTTTAAACCAAACAAAATTTTTTTTTTCCCTTCAAAAGAAGTCTTAGGTCAAGTTTAACTATCCTAAATAAATATACACTTTTTATCTTTTTTCTATCACATCAACTCTCTACTTTTCTACATATTTTTTGTAAAAAGAGAAAAAATACACTTATTTAGGTCATCCCAAACAATCCCTAACAATAACAAGTGCCTTAATACATCCATGAAGGGAAAAAAAAATGTTTTAAATTTTGTTAATTAACCTTTATCAGTAGAATAAACACTGTCAATAGGTTTAACACAACAATGCTCCAAAGTACTTTTTGTAATTGAGCATCTATGTTTAAGACATTAGTACATTAGAATTGACTTGCCAAGGAAAACAATAGAGACATGTACCATACCGGATGGCCCATACTTCACCTCTTGATAGCAACACCATGGTGCCACTTGCATAGAGCTGACATGGTGGTGATTTGTAATGTCACGTGGTAAGGGGAAATTATCTGACACCACTTAATATTTATTGATTAAAATTATAAAATTTAATATTTTTATTATTTTTTTAGAGATAATTTGATGGTTTGAGATGTCCTTAATAAGTGTACTTTTTGACTCTTTATGAAATATGAGCTGGGTATTGGTTGGGTTTGAAGTGATGTGATAGAGAGATAATGTGATTTAAATAGGATAGTGACTTTTTAACTTTTTAAATTTTTTAATTTATGCCAAACAAGGCTTTAAGGGTTTTGTAATAAACAGTGTTCAATATTATTTCAAAACTATCAAATAACTTAGTAAAAGATATAGGTAATCAATTATTTATTTTTTATTTAGAAAAAAAAGAAAGAAAATGCCACATCATCTATTAGTGAAAACTTTTCTTTGAAAAACATTTTTCTTCTTTTATGCCAAGCTTTAGAAAATGGAGGGTAGCTTAATTAGCAGAAATGTATTCAATTCACCAATAGCACTATGGCTAGAAGTTAAAAGGAGTTGGTTAAACAGTAAAAATTTAAAAATAAATATAAGATTTTATAAGTTTTAGTCACTTATGGGGTTACTGAAATTTTATCCGATTCTTAATTTTAAGACTTTGAAATTAATTAATGTGAGTACAAATTGACCCGTATATCCTGTTATTAAAATATATATATATATATATATAGACTAAGATAGGGACACTTGTTTTAGTTTTGTTTTCAAAAATTATTTTTCATTATTTTTTATTTTTATTGAATTTTTTAATATTTTAATGTTTATTTAAAAATTTTGAAGGTATATAAGAATATATTTATTAAAAATAAAAAAAAACGATTTTGGTGGATGATTGTGCGGGATCTTTGAATAAAGAAGGCACACACAATTAACATTAATTGCAGGCAAAATAGAGAGAACATAGAAATTGTAATTTTTTTTTTTTTTTTTTTGTAAACTGATAGGAGATCTACATCAGGATATTGTACCAACTGATAGGAGATCTACATCAGGATATTGTACCAACTGATAGGAGATCTACATCAGGATATTGTACCTTTGTGGGCGGCAATCTTGTTACTTGGAGGAGTAAGAAACATAATGTGGTGGCTAGATCGAGTGCAGAAGCTGAGTTTCAAGTTATGGCCCAAGGTGTGTGTGAACTCTTGTGGATCAAACTGTTGTTGAGTGATCTGGGGATGGGCCAGACAAACTATATGCAGCTATATTGTGATAATAAGGCTGTCATCAACATAGCTCACAATCCTGTTCAACATGACAGGACAAAGCATGTTAAGATTGATCGTTACTTCATCAAGGAGAAACTCACTAGCGGCATGTTATGTACTCCTTTTGTGAAGTCAGGCGAACAACTTGCAAACATCCGCACCAAGGGAGTTTAGAGTAAATCATTTCATGACGTTCTAGGTAAGTTGGACATACGAGATATCTTTGCACCAGTTTGAGGGAGAGTGTTAGAATATTTCCTTATTTAGATTAGATTGTGATTGATTAATTGATTGTGGTTTCTTAATCAGTCAATCAATCAATCAATACAAAAGGTGATTCCTTAATCAGTGCCTTAGGACTTCTTTTTGTAACAGTATTGATTAATATAAAACGTGATAATATCATAATCATTTCTAAAAGCTTTTGTATTCTCTTAAATTACACTTGTTGCATTGTCATTATCCTTTACTTTCCTATTTATCATGATCCTCTGACAATTGGTTAGTAGAGCCTTCATAGTTTTATAAATTAGCTGTACTGCTTAGTTCATCTTTTTAATCTATATTTCTAGATAGTTAGACATTGCATAAAGGTTATGTTTAGCTCATAGTTCAGATGAAAACATAATTTAAAGTTGTATTTGCATGTATTGTTGTCATTTTTATGATTCGAAATTGTCATTATCTTCATTTTGTGGCATTTTTTTTTTTTGTTTTCCATTAAATTTTGTTGGGGCTGTTCCTTTAGGTTTAGAATTGGATAGCAGAGAAAGGGAGGAGGAGGAATTAGAAAACTTGGATTGAAAATTATGTCCCTTTTCAGGTGGTTCGCTTTTTCTTTTTGATCGGAAGGTGTTGAGATATTTCAGAAAAGATGGTCATAACTGGAGGAAGAAGAAAGATGGAAAGACAGTGAAGGAAGCGCATGAGAGGCTCAAGGTTTGTGCCAAAGGATGGTGCTTATATTTTTATTAAAGACAAGCTTTATTTTCAATGTTTATTATGTTTAGAACAGACAAAAGTTTGCTGATATCTTTTGGTAATTTTGCACCATCTTGTAGTTCATGATGTATGTTTACGTTGCACTTCCAAAGTAATGTATCTGTATAATGTTCTCTCAGGCAGGAAGTGTTGATGTGTTGCATTGCTACTATGCCCATGGAGAAGAAAATGAAAGTTTTCAAAGGCGCAGCTATTGGTTGCTTGAAGAGTGAGTCTAAAAGTTGGCCCTGTGTCTATAAGTTTGTCTTTTATTTTGTCTAATTGTTGTATGTTGTTCTCTCTCTCTCTCTATATATATATATACTAGAAAGGTCTCCGCACTACGCACATGAGTTGTGTTTCATTTTAAGATTATTACATATTACATATTACATATTACGTTTTATTTTTATTTTTATGTTTTAAATGAGTATATATTACCTAGTAGTATAGGAGTGCGAGAGGAGAGAATAGGATGAACACATAGTGGGACTGGAAATGGAGAGAGATTAAGGGGGAAGGACTTGACGGGTGGTTATGTAACTGTATCTATCAAATTACATACTAATCCTTAAGTGATTTGAAAAAATCTCATCATGCATATGAATTAATCAATTCTTATGGACATTTTTGGAAATAAAAAATGTGGCAGGGATTCAAAAACAGGCTTCACCAAGGGGGGTTGCCGCCTTACCATAATAGTATGTCTGTTTTATGGATCTCCTCTGGGCAGTTGCCCTGATTCTTATCCATATTAGCATATAATGGTTGATTGAATGCCAATACATGAATGCAAATACCTACTAGTATCATCACGGACATGTACAGGCATAATTACAAGACTCTGACATCATTTAGTTGGATAAACAGCAGTTGTTGAATAGAATTCGGAATATTAGTTATATCTGCTTATGGATTTGTTTTGCTACTGTGGAAGTCCCATTATTTTTGTCTTTATGTGCTAAAGGAGAAAATAGATTTTAAAGTTTTCCACCGAATTTCTCGTCATGCTAATCATTATAATTTTTGGAGTTACTGCCACATTTATAGCTATAAACTTTTATAAACTTAAGTGGAATTAATTCATGGAAGTTCAAGAAAATGTTACCACTTTTGTTTCTTTTAGTTTTTTTGTTGTAAGGGCTGTTCTTGCTTATTCTTATTTGCTTACATTTGGACAACATCTGCTGCAGGGAGCTCTCACACATTGTTCTTGTCCACTACCGAGAAGTAAAGGTTACAATCTGTTCTTTTCTTGCTTCATTTATTTTTATATATTCACAATTAGTCATTTGAATATCATATAGGTGATTCCAAAGCCATTGTATATTATGTGTTTTGCTTGCTAGTTTAAAATAACATATAGTGTTCTGGCGTCTGATTTTGAACTGGATGGGGTACTGGCTATAAAGGTCTATTATCTACTGCTCTCGGCTTTGTGGTTGCGGATCTGTATCCCCCAAGCCGGGGTGGTACATGGAGGGTTTGTTCCTTGAGCAGCAGGTGTAGCCTGAGTCTTTCTGATGGCAACCTGCAAGATCAATTGTGCTAGCATCTGGGCAATCTCAGCTAGTTGATGGCTAACTGCCTCGTTAGAAAGTTGCTGATTCGGTTAGGCTTTACGGAACTTTGCTATGAAAAATATAACCTAATATGTTTTATTACCCAGCTTTTTACATCCATGACACTTTTCTTTTTGGATTAATGCTCATTACAATGTTCATATTACTCATAAGATTCTTGACTCGGCACTTCTCTGATTCGCAAAGTTCCTCCTTAGATTTTAGAACAACTTCGTTCAGATATAATATTATCTGTAGGCATTTTTCTTCTGGTTTCTTTTATTTATTTATTATATATATATATATTTCATTTTACTAGTTGTTGATCTCTTGGTTGAAGTGACAAACCTTAATAATCTGCAAATTGATCTTTCGTAACATTTATTTGAATAGAATTGGCTGCCTAAATCTGCAGGAACCACAACAGCTTTTGGATTTATTAGCACCATGGAAGTCATTAGCTCCAATTTTCCTACTGTGTTGTATCAGTTGTCATGTAAATGCTTGTACAATGCAATGCTTTGAAATTTGATTAGGACATCCGTTTGGCTAATGGATTCAGTTGGTTCATACTAGATTAAATGGTGGCACGAGGAGCCACTCTTTTTAAGGAATTTCTTAATTTCTTCTTCTTCTTTTTAAAGTGATCTTTAACAACAAACGTTACGTAAAACAAAACTTAAAAGACAATTTAAATATGTGAAAAGAAAATAGATATTTTGGTGGAAAATTAGTTAGAAGTATCCTGTTACGGACACGGACATACAGCATTGCATTGACAAGCTGACACACTGACATGATAATTTTCAAAAAATACAGGACATGACATGCAAGGGACACACAAAATATATAGTTTGGTATATTTATTAAATGACACATATGGATGAATAATATAAATTTTTAATAATAAATACTTATAAAAAAATATATATTATTCTAGGATGATAAAAAATATGATATAACACTAATTCCGATAAATCAGTGTTGTTTTTCTTTTATCATTATTGTCGGCATATAAATTTCAACCGCATTTAAGATACGATTTCTACTTAAATTTATAATTAATTTTGTGTCTCTAAGCGATGGACACATGTCTCCCAACTGTCCGAAGCATGTCCAGGTCTAAAGAAATAAAATAAATAATAATGGGACACATTTGGACAAGTGTCAAACACATGTTGGGAAGTGTCCAACGAGTCACGGACACATCACATTCTTTTAAATATTCGTGCTTCTTAGATTTTGCATCTTGACTGAATGATGTGCTCAACAAGGGTGAAGTTTACTTCTCAAAATGATCTGGGCCAAACTTTATTGACATCCAAGGCAAATCAGGCTTAGAAACTGATATGGAGTAACATTCTACCCCCTCAACACAATTTACTTCCTGTACTTCAAATGATTTATCTGCGCTGCTGACTCACATGTCCTGCAATAATAATTTCATGAATTACTGGTTTAATTTATTTTATAACCATTCATTCATATTTCATTTTGATGTCCAATATCCAAACCACTGAATGAGAATATTAAACACCAGGTTGTATTCTCTCTCTCTCTCATGTTATTTGTTTGTCTTATGTCTTGCCTGGGGTCCTCAAAACCTCAGGCCAATAGAGAGCAGGATGAAAACATCTACTAGGACAACAGAGCACCCAATATTGTCACCCCACCCAAAATCTGGTCAAAGTGCGTGAACCGCATGCAAGTTGTGGATTAAATAGAATGGTAAAGACCAGTGGTGAGGGGGGTGATATAGGTATTAACAACAACCTGAAAAATCTGATTTTTTAGCATTCTTTTTGTGGCATGCTTGGTTGAATTATATCTTTGTTTGCTGCTGTACTATGGTTTGTCCTTCTTGTTGCTAGCTTTAGCATTTTACTGGTGGATATATTTTTTATATATCTTTTCAATCAGGTAAAGTATGAAATCTAAATTGTTGAGATGTCTTATTACCATGACAACACAACTTCAGTCATTTAAGTGTTTATTATAATGTCACTAAATGCCCCTTTTTCTTCTTTATTTTTTTGTTGAGGAAACTTTTCCTTCTGTTTTGGTTTCACCACAACTACTATTACTTTCATATTTTAGAGAGAGATTGAGTATGATTAAGGTAGAAGTATTATATCTTCATCATGTTGTGCTCTTAAGCCCTCACTGTGTAATATGTTAATAGTTGCCAAAGTATACAGCATATGTAGAAACCTAGCTAAATATATGAATACTATGGATTATAAGAATTTAGGTCAAACTCTGATTGGGTCAAGTCTCTTAAGAAGTATAACCTAATTTTACTGATGCAAACTTCCTCTCTCAGTGAGTCATTTTAACAAAGTCATTCAAAAAGTTGCTTCTCTGGACTCACCTTTGTGTTGAACCACAAGTGGCTGCAACTGTTATGTAACGCCGTTACATAACGATTGTGGTGGTTACAGCCACCCGTTATGACCGCTTTTACGGTGTGATTGAGATTCACAAGTGTGTCGGCTATAGCGGTTGCCGTAGCAGTCGTAACAGTGTCGTAATGGCCGTAACGGCCTGTTACGCACCGTTACATAACGGTTCCGAACTGCTTCTTTTAAAAAAAACAAAAAAAAAGAGCTAAAAATAGGAAAAGGGGGAAGATGAAGAGGGAAGATGGAGGAGATAGAGATAGAGAGAAAAGAGGGAAGATGAAGAATATGTTATTGATTTGTTGAAGGTATAAGACCTATACTATTCTATTCAGCTGCTATCACTCAACCATTTTGTTTGTGTGTGTCTATCTATATATTGTTTGAAAATAATAACAATAATAATAATAATAATAATAAGTGTGGTCATTATCTATTTAGCTTGATTAAAAAATATATATATATATATTTAGGATCTTATTTATTCTCTTACTTTTGTTATTGTTTATCTTATATATAATAGTTAGTGAGTGATTTTTTTGTAAAATGTCTAGAAAACATAACACCTATAATTATATATTAATACATATTTTATAGATGTCAATTTTTTTTGATTAGTTTATTTTGTTTTTTAATTACAGGTTATCCAAAAAGAGAATGAATATTCAAGTGATCCAAAAAAAAAAAAAAACTTTATAATTTATTTTTTAATTTTTATATGATTATATTAGCATGTATAATTTATTTTTTTAAACTATTCAAGTTAAAATTTGCATATGCTTCCACAAGTATAATAATTAAAAAAATAATTTTATACATCTAAATCCAATAAATTTTTTTTTTGCCACAAGCGTAAATATAGATTTATGATATATAAAGTCATTAATTATTAAAATAAAATGTAAAAAAATCAATTTATAGTGATTTAAAAATATGAAATATATTGGATCATACTTAAAAATTTACAAAAATTGATAAATATTTATTTAAAAACCCAATAAATATGATTATGGAAAAAAAATATGCGTATTGGTAAGTTTTTTTCAAATTGTGCAAAAAATAAAAAAATGCACGGTTCCGGTTACCGCAACCGTTATGCTGCGGCCTTTGCACCTTGTTATCGCAACCGCGCTACCGCCACCGTTATAGCAACTGCAACCACTTTTCAGAACCTTGGGTGTGACATTTTGTCTTATTGCCTTTTTAGCCTATATTGTATTTTTTATAGCTATTTTAGCCCCAACCTCACATGCCAAATGAAGCCTTAGCTTCAGATTCGTATAATGATGTGCCTGTTAGAACTCATGAGAGAATAGTTCGAACGAGAACGTCTTCATATGTCGCAATTAATTTCTAGAGTATCAACTGTTTAAATGCGAAAGTGTTTCATTCGTAGGCAGATCATTTTGTTTTTAACACATGAAGCTCTGTTGGTTGACAGTAGCTTATCTGTTTAAATAAACTGATGGGTACTTTGTTCGAATGCATGTTGTTTGATACGCCTCAGGTTTGTGTATCTGGGACTAATTTCTTAGGAAATTGATTCTTTGTTCATTTAAGGTTGCTATGTGTTATATATTGAGACCTATGCTCCATTGATTAGGTTACACACATAATACTGGGTTATGGTTTTCCTTTGAGAGCCTTCATATAGTCTAGTTTCTTCAGTGCTTTGAGAGAGTGCTAGGTATGTGCATAAAGACTTAGTGGTTACATGGTCATTGATTGAGCGTGGATCTTAGAAAATCATGATCGTATAGTGGACGAAGCTAGTGAAGATTGAAGTTAAACTGAGAAGCTAGAACATGCATGGATAACAGATTGGATTATGGTGCTGCTCTGGGCTTGAGTAGGTAAAATCTGCACATTTGGCTTTGGTTAGTTTTGTACTTAATTTTGGTACACTAGTGGGTTTGTCGCTCCTGTGGTTTTTTTCAAGTTAGGGTTTTCCACCTATATCACGTCTCTCTATGTGATTGATTATTATCTATGTGCTTAAATTGGAAAATCCAAAAAATCTCCTGAATTTATAGATTCTTGTTCATTTTTGAAATTGAAGATCCTCAGAGACTATTTTTTGCACTCTGTTATTAGGGAAATAGGGCAAACTTTAACCGCATTAAAGAGGCTGAAGAAGCTATTCCCAATTCCCAAGAAAGTGAAGAAATTATACCCAATTCCGAGGTGGACAGCTCTGTATCTTCTACATTTAACCCATACAGCTACCAAGTAACTTCACAAACTGCAGATACAATGAGTCTGAACAGCACTCAGGCCTCAGAATATGAAGATGCTGAGTCAGGTGTTGATGTTACATTTGTCATTTCTCAGTTCTAATTCATTATAAATGGTTAACATTATGTCATATTGACAGTTAATCAATACTTTGTGGATACTAAGTTGCTGATTGATTATAATTATCATTCATGATGAATAAATTTGATGCAGTATATAATCATCAAGCAAGTTCGGGATATCACTCTTTTCTTGAGTTACAACCATGTGTAACGGAGAAGATGGATGATGGAGTCTCTGCCCCTTATTATCCAGTGCCGTTCTCACGTATTATGTCTTCTCCATTCTTTTTATTTTAAACCATTAGTTTTTATCTTTTCTCCGGTTCTTTTTGATAGTTGAGCATAATTTAGTGTGTACATGATGAGACAAATCAAAAGGTTAATACTTAGAACTGTTAGCAGATGATTATCAAGGAAAGTTGCCTGCTATTCCTGGGATGGATTTTGCCCCACTCGCTCTAGGAGATAAGGGCAAAAACAATGCCAATGTTGCTTTAACATATGAGCACCAGAAACACCTGGACTTCCCATCATGGGAGGATGTATTGGAAAACAGTGGTCGTGGAATTCAGTCTGTCCCTTTTCAGCCATCAATTTCCTCTAACGAACCTGATTCCATAGGTGTTAATCCTGGACAAGCAAATGAAATACGAGGGCTCATTTTGAGAGACGGCTTTGTTAAAAAGCAGGAGGTTGGGATTTACCCACATCGGCAAGTTGAGTGGCAGGTATGGAATGCCTCAAACCCTTTGTCCGTGCCTTGTATCCCATGAAATTGTAACATTTGCTTATAGGGTAATACATGCTTACTGCATAGTAAATATGTGATAGTTGCTGATAATTGCTCAATGGAAGTTGTTTCGATTTCTTTAATCTTTTTTATCTTAAAAACTGATAGTAATTCTTTTGCTTTGTTAAAAAAGAAAACTGATGCTAATAAGGAACACGTGTGCTTGTTGTGTTTATGGCTGTGCTCTGAGTGACTTCCCTTAAATTTCAGCAGATATATCAAAGGGGTATTTATATTTTACTTAACTGAGTTAATGAACTCTGCCCAGGACAAGAAGCTCTTGGAACGTGGATATATATAAGTTGATTCTAGGACTCTATTGTAATGGTGCAATCATTAAATTTTGATGAACCCCATATTTTTATGTTATTGCATTGCGAGAAGTACTAGGGAAGCCCGCCAAACTTGTTTCAGCAGCACCCACACAGACCCTGTGTTGGTCCTTGTTAGCTGAAGGTGCTACCTATATTAAATTTATGAAGTTCTCTTTGTCGGACACTTGACACTTGAACAAAAGATATGGAATATGTGTCCAACATGTTTAGTTGGACATGCACCCATTAAGTATGCCTAAATAGTCAAGTTTACATGATAACTAAGCGTAATGCTCCTATTTTATGTATAACATACTCTATATATTAGTTTATAAACACCATTTCACAATTTTTTTTTTCCAAAATAAGTATTTAATAAATATGAAACCTAGCTGTGTTTGTTGTCCTTGGACATGAGAATTAGTTGAGTCCAACACTTTAGGCACATACTTGCACCCGATATATTCATACCTTAGTCCAGACCTAACCTATGGCATTGTTTTCACAAAGTGGCTGCTCTCAGACCCGAGTCTGCCCCTCATATGCTTGGCAGACTGAGCTTTTACCACTGCGGCCAGCAATGCTTCTAAGCACCCACACTCTAGCATTGGTTAAAAAAGTTAATAGGTATGAATTGCAATCTTAGGGTACTTATTTCATGCAGCATGCATGATAAACTAATTTTCACCATTATATAGATTAAGCCATGGGAGCCATGCTTAGACCTTAGTTGCAGGAATCGTGCAAACAGGTGGCGATTCTTAGTAAGAATCGCGATTCCGCGTTTCCTAGAAAGAAACGTGTAAGAATCGCGTTTCTGTGGAGAGAGAAACGCGATTCAGTCCAAGATGGGATCGTAAAGAGGAGAGAGAGAGAGAGAGAGAGACCTGGTCTCACTGTCGCCTTCTCCTTCGACATCGACCTCGACCTTCGACATCGCCTGGACTTTCGACATCGACCTTCAATCTGCTCTCGCCTCGCGATCTACTCCTCTTCGCTCTCGTCTTCGATCGTCTTGACATTGCCATGGCCATCGCCATCGCCTTCGATCTGCTCTCCTTCAGCTTCTTCTTCTTCTTCTTCTCTCTCTCTCTCTCTCTCTCTCTTGTCGATTTGTGCTGTCTTCCCCCCTCCCGTTTTTAACATATAATAAATGTAATAAATAATATAATTTGTTATATAATAATAAATCTAATTAAATTAAATATAATAAAAAAAATCTAATAAGATTTATAAAATAAATCATTATTTTACTATTTTTTATTATTTTACTGTTTTTCATATTTTATTATTTTACTGTTTTTTATTTATAATATATATCAATTAAAAATTAAAAATATATATAAATAAATTAAAAATATTATCTATAAAAATAATACCTAAGATAAAAATAATAAATATATTTTAGAAATAACTATTAAAAATATATATATATATATATTACTGCTTCCCGAGGCGCTCCCAACCTAAGAAACTTCTATCAGCTCACGCTTCCCCGCTCCCGCTCCCGCTCCCGCTTCGTGCAACTAAGGCTCAGACCATGCAATGAGGTCCATTTGATTAAATACTTTTTATACCTATAGGATCGGCAGTGACATGACATGTCCACATCAACCTTATGATTACCGTAGGGATGCATTTACCCACTTTCTATGAGCAGGTAAAAGCTAGATTGTTTGGATGCATTTTATGATTATCTTGATTATGTCATAGGGTAGATATACAAGTTATAAAGAGGTAGTTGGGGGGAAGTTTTTAGACGCTAAGTCCTTTATTCTGGTAATGTCTCCATGTTGTTGGATAGTAACATTGCCTGATCTTTCTTAGTTGTTGGTTTTATCATTTTTTTTTATTGGTTTTCCCAGGTGTTAAAAACCATGCTCTCTTGAAGAAATTTGTCCAGGCATTATGGCAACTAGGAAAGTTATTATACAGTATCATGATTTTTATTCTGTTTTTACCGTCCTTGGGATGCTCTGCCTGAATCTGGTCTTCTTTTTTTCTTTTTCTTTTTTTCTTTTTTCCTCCTGGTTTTTTAGCATCATGTCATTTGTTCGAATCTTAATGCTTTTTAACCGAGTTGTTGTTTGACCCTCCAAAAGCTAGTCCATCTATCAGTTTAAGCATATCCATCACATCCAATTGTAATGATTAGTATTCGCCTCTTCAAATTGAATATTTATGTTCAGGCTTTGACTTACCTTACAAACAGACTTCTGAAGGTGATTCTTCTCATGTATCCAAGTGGTCAATGGATCAGAAGTCGTATCAGGACTCGGAATATCGTCTCACCACTGGGCTTCATGGAGGAGTTAATTGTGTGGATTTACTCAAATCTTCAGGGCCCTGTCAGACGCATCCTGCTCAGAATAAGCATTATGCACAGAATGACCTTCCAATACAGCGCACATATACAGAAGGTGGAAGTGCTCTGAAATCAGAATTAGAGAGAAATCTGACAGTAGAGGGAAAAGCTGAACAACTTCCTTTGAAACAGCCTCTGTTAAATGGCTTTGTACGGGAAGGTTTGAAGAAGCTTGATAGCTTTGACAGATGGATGAGTAAGGAATTGGGAGATGTGAACGAATCGCATGTGCATTCCAGCTCGGGAACCTACTGGGAGACTGTTGAAACTGAAGATGGAGTAGATGATTCCAGCATTTCCCCCCAAGTGCACTTAGACACTTATATGCTGGGTCCCTCTCTGTCGCAAGACCAGTTCTTTAGCATTATTGATTTCTCACCAAACTGGGCATATGCAGGTTCAGAGATAAAGGTATACTGTAATCTTTGTACTTCCCATTCTGATTTTAACTAGGCTATTGACTGTCTTTTTCATTCACTATCAATGGGATAAATGACCAATGGATTATATATCACAAAGCAATGCAATTGTTTTTTTTTCTTGTCATGTATTTGATCACCAGGTATTGATTACGGGAAAATTCTTGAAGATTCAACAAGATGTGGAGAAGTGTAAGTGGTCATGTATGTTTGGAGAAGTAGAAGTTCCAGCAGAAGTTATAGCGGATGGCGTACTTCGTTGCATTGCTCCATTACACAAGGCTGGGAGGGTTCCTTTTTATGTAACGTGTTCCAATAGGTTAGCATGTAGTGAGGTGCGAGAATTTGAATACAGAGTTAACAACATTCAAGATGTGGATGTACCGGATATCTATTGCGGCACCATGAATGAAATTCTTCTTCGTATGCGATTTGGAAAATTGTTGTCTGTGGAATCTGCCAGTTCCCCAAGTTCTATTTCCAGTACTCTAGGCGAGAATTCCCATTTGAACAGTAAAATAAGCTCACTACTAAAAGAAGACAACAATGAGTGGGAGCAAATGTTAAAGCTTACTTCTGAAGATGAATTCTCCCTTGAGAAAGTGAAGGAGCAGCTTCTACAAAAGCTACTGAAGGAGAAGCTGCATGTATGGCTGCTTCAGAAGGTTGCTGAAGGTGGAAAAGGCCCTAGTGTATTGGATGAGGAAGGCCAAGGTGTCCTACATTTTGCAGCAGCACTTGGTTATGATTGGGCTATACGTCCCACACTAGCTGCAGGTGTAAGTGTCAACTTCCGTGATGTGAACGGATGGACAGCACTACATTGGGCAGCATCTTGTGGCAGGTAAGGACTTTGGATTTTTTTATTATTTGTTTTTCTTCTCCTACTCTTAATATCTCATCTTCCTTTCATGGACCATGCAACATATATAAAATATTGATTTTCAGGAAATTTTAGTATTTACATTTTTTGACAATGACATTCAACTTGCAATTAATTCTGAAGAGAACTTTCCATTTTTTGTTATTTTTGGGTGGTTCTGCTCTTGCTCATACTCGATGATACTAGAGAGCGGACAGTGGCTTTTCTCATTTCCCTAGATGCAGCTCCTGGAGCATTGACAGACCCTACTCCCATATTTCCTTCTGGCCAACCACCAGCTGATCTAGCTTCCAGCAAAGGGCACAAAGGGATTGCTGGTTATCTTGCAGAATCTTCCTTGAGCTCTCACCTATCATCACTTAAGTTGAAGAACAGTTCAGGAGGTGATGCTGTACAAACTGTTTCAGAACGAACTGCTACTCCAATCAGTGATGGAGACTTGTCACATGGACTGTCACTGTCCCTGAAGGATTCATTAGCTGCTGTCTGTAATGCTACTCAAGCTGCTGCTCGCATTCATCAAGTTTTTAGGGTGCAGTCATTCCAAAGAAAGCAGCTCAAAGAGTATGGTGACAATAAATTTGGAATGTCAGACGAGTGTGCTCTTTCACTTGTTACCGTCAAGACAAGCAGGCTGGGCCAACATGATGAGCCAGTACATGCTGCTGCTATACGGATACAAAATAAATTCCGTAGTTGGAAGGGCCGAAAAGAATTTTTGACAATTCGTCAGCAAATTGTGAAAATTCAGGTGTGACATGCACTTATACGAAGTTCTGGGTTTTTTGTTTATTTATTTATTTTAAATTTTTTATGCACTTATTCTTCTTGAATATTGTCATACAAATTTTCTCCTTCGTTCAAGGTCTGAGCTTAAATTCTAAGTTCGAGCTTTTATGGTGGACAGGCCCATGTGAGAGGACACCAGGTGAGGAAGAATCATAGAAAGATAACCTGGTCCGTTGGAATTTTAGAGAAGGTAATTTTACGGTGGAGACGGAAAGGGAGTGGTTTGCGTGGATTCAAACAGGAAACACTCACGCAAGGCTCTAGCAAGCAAGATACATCCTCCAAGGAAGATGACTATGATGTCCTGAAAGAAGGCCGAAAGCAAACAGAACAACGGTTGGAAAAGGCCCTTGCTAGGGTGAAGTCCATGGTTCAGTATCCAGAAGCAAGAGATCAATACCGTAGGCTGCTCAATGTTGTCTCAGAGATGCAGGAAACTAAGGTATTTCTACTTCTGCACATTTCAGATGCCACCAAGTGTAATAACCCAACCTTTTCAAATTTAAATTTGTATTTTCCGAATATGCAATATAGAAAGCCTTGTGGAGTCTAGGACTTGGGTCTTAATCTCATGCTAGTATCATGAAAAGCTAATGCTGCAAAAGCTTGATTTATGCTTGTGTGTCGCTATAAATTTTAGCCAGATGTAAGCACTTGTAAAGCTGATTCACCAAAAGCTTGATTTATGCTTGTCTGCTGTGGCCACAGTTGCACCTGTTACTTGAACTAGAAATCACAAATTACAATCATACCTCCTCTAGTTCACAATTTTAGTTAGTTTTGGTTCGCATGCACAGTAAGAGAAAGGACAGCAGTACAGATGGCTACATAGGCATTTCACCAAGAAGAAATACTTAAAAATGTCCTGATTTTGTGAAATTATGCATGTGTCCAGGACTGGAAATGGTGACTTTGGGGAATGTGTCACCTTTGTACATAAATATTTAGTTGAACTTAAGAGTCATGTGTTATGAGGAAAATACCCTTGATGCTCATACTGTCAATATGGCCATAATCTTAAGCCTAGGAAGCAAGTTTGTGGTCATTATCAGTAATAGATGTGCAAGTTGAGTTTACAGAATTCTTCCTCACTAGATTCCGAATAATGCTATATGCACCAATTAGTGTACTAACTAGTGTACTAATAGATGACGTGACACAATTTTAGAGGTTTTGGGTATTTGTAATTTGTAATTTGTATAATAGGTGGGGTCAATAATAATGTTATAGCATTAGTTGGTATACTAGTTAGTGCATGTAGCACCACCGCTAGATTCCTTAGACAGCATAGAGTTTCTTTGCATATATGGCAACATTGATTTCTATTTTCAAGCAGGATCGTTTTGCACTGAGATTCTTGTCTCGCACTGAGATTCTTGTTTCCTTTTTGATCCATGTTTCAGGCTGTGTATGGTAAGGTTCTAAACAGTACAGAAGAGATAGCTGATTTTGATGATATGATTGATCTTGAAGCATTTTTGGATGATGATACATACATGCCTACATCATCTTCATGATTGGATTGGACCTCGCTCTCTTTCTCTTTCTAGCTCTTGTAAATGGTTGGGTTGGCATCTGCCTCTCTATTGACTCTCCTAGAACTTAAATAACAATAGGGTTGTATTGATAATTCATTTTGTAAATGTTGTACACTACACTTTGATCCATTTGACCTCCCCTCTTAATACGTCCAGTGTGTGTTAGGAATTGTTGCAGTTACAAGCTGTGGTGCTAATGTGAAGTTTGTGCTCATAGTTTGTTCACTACAGAAGCTAACAATATGTGGGCTCAATTAACTGGACTCGAAAACCTTTTGGTTTTATGAACCCTCACTGTTCTGATTAGGGGAAGAAAAAAGAAAATACACGGATATGGAATGGTGCAACTCACCATTAGTTTATCTTTTTACCCCTTTCATCTCATTACACCATTAAAAAAAATTTGATTTTCATTACACTCATTATACTATCAAAATTAACCCTAAACTAATAACTCTTCAAAACTCTTTCAATTTTGTCTCTTTCATCAATAGTTTTTGATAATACAATGTTAAATAATTTAAATTAATCTAGTGTTGTGTTACTAGACAATATAATTTTTTTCAGTCATTTATTGTTGTTTGATTGGATGATTTTACTTTACTTAAACAAGAAATTAGTTAGAGTTTATTTGTAAAGTGTTTGTTCGGTGATACATTGCTATACAAATTAGATTACTCCAATGTCATGTTATCGAATTAAAATAAATTTGTCTAGCTACATATGGCTTTACATGCGTTGTAGATTGTTTTCATTGTTGTTGCATTAAAGGTATCCATTCATTTCAATGTAATTAATATTTCTTTTGGTCGCACAATATTATTTAACCTGTCAACTAACAATAATGTTTCCTCCTTAGATAATTTATTAGCAAATGAGTGCTTTCAAGATGTTCAGTAGCCGAATGATTGTACTTGCATTTCTGCAATGAATAAAAGTATACTCCTAAGCAAAATGTATATATATATATATATATATATATAAAATGAAAAATGCAAGGTAATGAGTAACCGAATAAATTAAAAATGTTCGTCGTTGGGTTAGCTGAAATGTATCTTTTATTTGGCAGTGGATTATTGGACATAAATTTGTTGTTTGGTAATGTAAGTTCGGATTATTTTATTTTATTCGATTTTGACACATCGAACAAAAGTCGAAGAATTCTCTCAAAAAATGAAACGAAAACCTACCAAACAAATAAAAAAATTCACCATTTCACGTTTTTTTTTTTTTTTAATTAAGGTTTTTCACTTCTTTATCCATTGCTTTTTTCTATAATCAAAACATTATGATTATTACTTTTTGAAAAGGGATGTAGAAGAGAAGAAAAATTGAGATGGAAGAAGAGCAGTAGGGATTGAAGAGCAATGGATGTAAAGAGAAAATAAAATATATTTAATTTTAGTCTTTTATCTTTAAAAGTAATTTCACACATGGTTACAATTGAAGGGAAAAAAAAAAAAAAGCATATGAAGGGTGTAAAGAAATAAACTAGTGGTGTAAGTAGAATCACTGAAAGGTGTAAAGAGGTAAACTAGCAGTGTAAGTAGAATCACTCTATCAGATTTTTTTTCTTTTTTTTTTCTTCCAATTTTATCCATGTGTGAAATTACTTTTACGGACAAAAGACTAAAATTAAATATATTTTATTATCTTCTTACACCCATTGTTCTTCAATCTCTATTGCTATTCTTCCCTTAGTTTTTCTTCTCTACTACATATCTTTTTTCAAAAAGTGAGAATCATAGTGTTTTGATCATAGAAGAAAGTAATGAATGAAGAAACGGTGATGAAAAACCATCAAAAAAATGAAATTGTGAGTTTTTTTTTCTATTTGTTTGATAGGTTTTCGTTTCGTTTTTTGATAGAATTCTTCGACTTTTGTTCGGTGTGTTAAAATCAAACAAAATAAAATAGTATGAAATCACATTGTCGAACAAAAATATATGTTCGATAACCAACTGCCAAATAAAAGATAGATTTCCAGTAACCTAAGGCTGAACATTTTTAATTTGTTTAGTTACTCATTATCGTGCATTTTCAGTTTCATTTTTTTAAATTTATTTTTTGTGTTTTTTGCTTGGAATGATTATACTTCTATTCATTGTAACAATACAAGTACAATCATCTGGCTGCTAAACATCTTGAAGGGCACTCATTTGTTAGTAGATTATCTAAAGAGGAAACATCCTTATTAATTGACATGTCAAAAAGCATGGTGTAACCAAAAGAGATATTGATTACATTGAAATGAAAGGATGTTTTTAATGCGACAACAATGAAGACAATCTACAACGTACATAAAGTGATAGATGGCTTGACGAAGTTATTTTAGTTCAGCAATATGATACTGGAGTAATCTAATTTGTATAACAACGTATCACTGAACAGACACTCTATAAATGGGCTCCGATTAATTTTTTGTTAAAGTAAAGTAAAATCATCCAATTGAACAACAAATGGCTAAAAAAAATTAGTTTGTCTGGTACCACGGCACTAGATTAATTCAAATTCTTTGGCATTGTATTATCAAAAGCTATCGGTGTAAAGAGACAAAATTGAATTTTTTTTGGAGAGTTTTTATGTTTAGGGTTAGTTTTGGTAGTATAATAGGGGTAATGAGAATCACATTTTTTTAGTAGTGTAATGAGATGAAGGGTGTAAAGAGATAAACTAGTGATATAAGTAGAATCACTCCAATCTCATACGAAAAGCGTAAAGAGATAAACTAGTAATATAAGTAGAATCATCCGACTCAAAATTGCACCCTCACAGAGTGAGTTGCACCCATCATTGCGTAATTTATTTGGTTCCCCTCTTATTATAGGAGCTTTTTGGCTATATATATAAACAAAAACAAAACAAAAACAAAAAAACTCATATATTTTGAATAACTATTAATTTTTTATTATTTTTATTTGAAGCTATATGAAAAATGTAGTAGCACTTTCTAAATGACTTCAATTCAAGATTTCAAAAAAAAAAAAAAAAACGACTTCAAGTTCAGCTGATGATTGAACTATGGGTGAAATCTCATGTTGAACTCTCTTTACGTTACTTTTTCTTTTCTTTTCTTTTCTTTCCCACCAGATTTCACTCAGACATGATTTTAATTTGGTTGAAATTGTAGGTAGAGTCTCTGGATTTCATCAAGACAATTGCAGGTTGAACTTTGCAATTTCATTATTAGTCTACCTCCCTTGATGGGAGCATGGGGTTGCTACTATTTAAATCCATAACAAGCTCACAGGTTCAAAATTGTCATCCTAATATTTGCGCGAGTCAAAAAAAAAAAAGGAATTTTTTTAATCTGAAATTGTACCGTCATGCTCCGATTTTAGAAGATAATACTATATTCATACAAGTGTAACAGTGTTGTATGAACATATATTTATGGAAGTGCCGTATTTTTGCTCATGAAAAAAGATTGAGATTCATAATTTTATCAATAATAACATGACAGTTTATGTGCTAATTTTTTATTTGCTATAAAGTTAATCATATAAGATCTAACTCTATTGTCATGTCATTGTTGATAAATTGCGAAATTCAAATTGTAAATCTTTAACGTTTCTCTTTACACAAATGGTTATAAAAGTGCAGTATTTTTATAAATAAATAGTTATTTAAAAGATATTATCGAGCCGAAAAACTCGTTATGGCATTAATAGCGTTAGGAAAAGACATAAAACATCAATCCATGTACTGCTGTTAACAACATTAGATCTTCCTCTGATATAAAAATTTCAGCTCTTTATCTTATTTTATTTTTAAACTCTAAATACAAACTACAATAACAATGACAATCCAGACTCAGAATTTTAAAAGGAAACCACAAGCCACCATCAAAGAGTTGCAGAAAACTCGTACACCCAGTTTAGTTTAGTTTCCATTAAATGAAGTCTAAGAGAAAATGAGTAGAGAAGAGACCTAACCTAACATAATAATAATATGTGATTGCCCTCGGCTCAAACCTACAACCTTAGGTCATGTTTGTTTGGGTGGACATGAGCTTGGGATTGGACTAATAGTCCAATAAAATTATTAATCCAATGTTTGGTTAAACAATTGAAGTACGGACTTTAGTTTAGTTTCCATTAAATGAAGTCTAAGAGAAAATGAGTAGAGGAGAGACCTAACCTAACATAATAATAATATGTGATTGCCCTCGGCTCAAACCTACAACCTTAAGGTCATATTTGATTCATAAAATTAATAGTGAAATATTAATAATTCTATTAAATTAATGTGGTATTCACTATCCAATTAAATTAATATTCATTAGATTAATAATCCCACCCCTACCCCATTACTAATAATCCTACAAATTTGTTGGATTAATTATCCATTGGATTAATAATCCTAAACTAAAACGTTAAAACAAACATAGGATAATTGGGCCCACGGATTAATAATCTCAATTCCATGCTCTAATTCACCCAACCAAACATGTCCTAAGAGTAATCAATAAACCAGTGAATTATTACACACTACTAAACCAGTGAATTTGGGAGGAAGGCACAAATCAAGTGGTCAAATATCTGCTGGAGCTATTGAAAATACGAAAGCTTGATATCAGAAGCAAATCTTTAGGTATAGATAGAAATGTGGTTTAGATAGCCAAAATCCGTATACAATTACAAAATCTTGATATCAAATGTTGTAACACACCTTCCATTCCACAACACCAATGAACAATATGCAGGTATATTTTGGATCTCCTTGGATTCCTATTGCAAGTAAAACATTCTCAGCCACTAAATTCTCACCCCACCACCACCATATGCACTACAAATTTTTTTTGGTCACCTTATTGTTGAAAAAAAACCGAGGATAGCGACTAGTGAGCTTCCACCATCCACTGTACAGGGCAACCAACTAAGTGTACATATTTCTTCACATTTCATCTCACCTGACTAGAAACATCAGAACTCCCCACAAGATGCAAGGAGGGGGGAAAAAAGGAAAGGTAAAAATGGCAATAAACATGGAAATCAGAGTAAAAATGAGTTAAAAAACTCGTAATAAAATGATCTTTCTCCTCTATTCAGCTTGTGGGACCAGCAGCAAGTCTTTCATAGAACAGGATGTAGCCATGATCTGTATTACTAGAATACTCCTGTGCTGAACCAAAGAAAGTCTGCACAGCAGACTCATCAATCATCTCCACGTTGTCATCATCAAAGAACAACCAATGATTATGGCTTTTCACAAGGCTGACATAGTGTCCGTGGTTGGGTCCACTCCCAACATGAACAACCACCGCGAACAGGGAATACTCGGCATCTGCATCTTCCACTGTATTGCTCAGCTTCAGCTCAAGAGGGAATACAACACGGTAAGACAACTTCTTGTACCGGCCCAGCTGCTCAATATACTTGAACCGCTTTAGATGGATCACCAGAATGTGAGGTGGTTTTTTTATCTTCATTCTCTTCTGCGCCTCTTGCAAACTACATTATGAAACAAGACACTAAGCTCAGTTATCTGACTTACATCTATTTTTGCAGCCAGCTTATGAAATATATAAACATTCTACAAAGACATGAATGACAAAAAGATGCTCAACAATTTCAATAGTCTTGTTTCTAAAAATGACGTCGTGCATGTAACTCATCTAACATCCAGTGACGGCAAAAAAGCAACCCATTTGAAAGGCTGTAAATGGCTGTTTGGATACCTCAAAAGCTTGACACATCTATGCTATCAACCCATTTGAAAGGCTGTAAATGGCTGTTTGGATACCTCAAAAGCTTGACACATCTAGGCTATCATGTCATTACCAATGGTTAGCTATGCCCTTGCATAAGAACTAACATGAGAACATCAAGTACACTTTCCCATTAAAAAAGAAGGCAGAAAAAAGACCAAAAGCTAAAAATATACTCCCTCCGTCCCAATCTGTTTGTCTATTATAAAAAACCCAACTTATTAAGGAGACATGCAATCATTACATTTTAATTCAATTTTTTTTGTTTTGATAAATGAAATTTTATTACCATAGAATCAAGAAGATGCCAAAAGAATACAAAACCAAACCCCGCAAAACAGGGGGGCTCACCAACTATATCATCAACAAAGTCTAACAGAACAAATAAATTTGGATTCACCATTTCTGACACCCAGCTGTACAAAACACCCAAAAACCAAGCCTCTAAACATGCAATGGATTGAGCACTACCCTGAAAAATCCGACGACTCCGCTCTAGCCAAACTGACCACATCAAACACAAAGGTGCTATCAACCAAGCCTTCCACCGCCGCTTCACAACTGGACCACCCCCCAACAACGCAACACATCCATGACCTGCCTTGGTTGAACACAGACCACACCAAACAGACAGAAAACAAGCACCCACAAACGAGAAGCAAACGGGCAATGGAGCAGCAAATGGTCCACTGTTTCCGCATCCGCACAACACATGTAACACTAATTAACCAAAATATGATGGCGACAGATCAGATTATCAATAGTCAAGATCCTACCAAAAGCTATTGCCCACGCAAAGAAAACCACCTTCGATAGAACACCAGAAACCCACACACCGCGCCAAGGGAAAACTCCCCCTCCACCACCGTCACACAAGGACAAGTAAAAAGACGAGGCTGAAAAAACACCTTTAGTCCCTAGAACTCCCCAAACTATCGTCCTCCCCCTCCCACCATTGCCCTTCTATTTAAATTTTAACATGTGTTTATAATAATTTATAGTGGGCAATTTTGGAAATCTAACAAAAATTAGTATATCCCAAAATAGAAAGCGGACAAATATTTTGGGACGGACGAAAATGGAAAGGTGGACCAACAAAATGGGACAGAGAGAGTAACCAATACTAAGGTTATCAACGACAATGAATTGCGACAAATACACCAACAAAGAATTGAGCAAATGCCACCAACCTGCAACACTTATCGCAAAAGAATTTGTCTTCAGCATTTAGAGTCTCTGTGGAACTAAAGTTTTTCAAACAGCTCGTTATGGAACTGTTCTGTTCAATATCAAGGCTCAAGTCAAGAAAGGTTTCGTCCCTCGCTGTTACTGTCTCACAACGCAGGCACCTTGTTTCGTTTGTGAGTATACCCTGAACGTCAGCCGTCAGAGAAGTTAGATTCTTGAGGAATAATGCAAACAAAAATAATAATAACATAATGCAATGTAGCAAGCAACCAAGAAAACAGTAGTGGTATTTCGTTTATTAAATGTCCAGCAACTGAACCTTCTAAATTGATCTGCAGTTCATAAATTGCATTCAACCCCACATGATATATCATGAGCATCATTGCAGAGGTCAAATATATGGAAAAGAGAAGTTACCTGAAAATTTTTGTGCACCCAAGTGACAAGAGGCTCTTTTTGAGCACCATTGGCATGAATAGTAGTTGGGCCATTTGCAACCATTTCAGATGGTGATGAAGTTTCTGGATCACTCTTTGCAGCATGGGACTCTTTCTCCAATATGTCAACAAGCTCATTCAGCAAATAGTTTAAAAATTCATGGGCATCCTACACAGAAAGAGGAAGATGGTCTGCTTCTCATATCACATGAGCAGACAAAATGGTACAAACATAGCTATATGCCAAGCTGAAAAGCTGATAAATCATGCAACCTCAGTTGCCTAAAGCCTGAAATGCCCCACCCACCCAAACTAAAATAAACAAATAAATAAAATTATAAAAAAAAAACAAATAAAAAACAAAAATAAAAAACACTTCTTTCCAATTCTATAAAAATAAAGGGAAATCTGGCAGTGCACACTATTGGACAACCATCAATCAAGATGAAAATTTTACATAGGCAATGCAATTGTTCTGTAATTGATTTAGAAGATTTATTTTCTTCAAAAGCTTCTTTCCATGTTCATATAATGAAGTCAAACATTTTACCAGTTCAAATTTTATTTTTGTTAAATTTCCTCAATTTATGTATTATAAAAAGAAGGTAAACTTTATCATGTTTATTTCAATATATTTGAAGGAACTCAGCTTTCCCATTTAAATCAATTTCCCTGTCAAATATGAAGAAGAAATATTTATTAAATCTAGAAATCAAGGATTATAAGGTTTGGTGAGATAAAAATCATAGCAATAAGAAGGAAGTAAAAGAACAAGGAGAAGGGGAGACATGGATGGGCATCAATCTACAAGGTTGGAGGCCTTGTAATTCATTGAAATTAAATACTTTGTCTATTCCCTTCTCTTTTTGAAGTCATTACTGAGCTCAACATAGCATTAAGTCAAAAAGCCTGAGCATGAATCCCATTCAACAATAGGTTAGTAAATATTCTAATAGTTTGATTCAGCATGTGTGAAACAAATACGAAGTACAAAAGTTGGGATTCTATGCATGATGACAGCCGGACAAACAAAGTTGTCTAATTTGGAGAGGAAACACATCCATACATTGAGTCCAACCAAGAAATATTGACTCATCCTGGAAAAACTTCCCAAGTCCTAGCACTGGAGATACCAATGAAGCCCTGCCAATTTTGATGATCCCACATTAGCAGGTTCCCATTGCCTATATATTGTAGATGATGGTGTCTAGGATGGCCCAGGACAAGGTGATATGGGAAGATGGTAAGCACTCAGATGGCAAAGGACAACCAGAGGCGGTGGGCCAGGGGCAACACTAAGAGAGAGAGGATGACAGTAGAGAGAGAGCATCGAGCTTTTGTTTACCGGTGAGAGGGATGAACAATTGTGCTCCATTGATGCATGGAGAGGATCCCTTTTATGGGGAAGTTGGGCCGTTGAAGTCAACTTAAAGGGGACAGATAACCTGATATCCCCTTAGCCCTGTAATTGGTATCTCTTGTCTTGGGATCTCTCAACCTGGGGATCTCTTAACATGAGATCCCCTTACTAGGGATCTCCAGACATGGAAATCTCTGTCACCCTATGCTTTCCTTGGCTGACAAATGACATGCCATGGTATCAAGGGTATCAAATGCCTCTTGGTCAACACCTGACATAGATTCCGGTTA